TGATGAACAGGAAAAGGGGAAAAGTTGTTTATATTGGAGAAATATAATATAATATACCCAGCTGGAAAGAGCAACAAGACCTCTGAAGCTTAATTGAATTAGTTTATCACGAGATTCGTGTCAGCCACTGTGTCTCGGGTCTTTGGTTTAGGCCTGGATTCGCAATCTGAAGTAGGCATCCTCTTGAAGAGTTCTGTCATTTTCTTTTCTTCTTGACTTGAAAATAGCCGATTCCTCATCAGGTTCTCCACACACACATTCTTCCCTCTTGTGTACCGTATAACTGTGTATTCGCAGGGGGGCGCACACGTATATATACCATACCTCCTGTCTTTAATATTATCTCTGATTTTTAACATGTTATAAATAAGTATTGTTTTTTCTAAATACTCTTATTAATTATGTATATTAGTTATAATTACTATTTCATAAAAATTTTAACATATACAACTACTACAATGACTACTTTGAAAAAAAAAGAATATATAAAAACAAAATGGATTGAGATATTATACTTATGATCAAATTGAAAGCCAAACAAGCTCTTATAATAAGGAACGGAGGTAGTATAAAAGTTTGTTTTTTAATTTGATCTTAAATATAAAATCTCAATCTACTTTGTTTCTCATATTTATTTATTTTTTTAAATAGTCCTTGTAATTATTACACATGTTAAAGATTTTATGAAATGGTAGTTTTAGTTAATACATATGATTAGTAAGAATATTTTAAAAAAAATCTACCTATTACACATAACTAACATAACTTAGCAAATTTTTTAATATATTTAAATCAGTCAACTAATTCTTATATTAAAAATTAGAGGTGGTGTGCGTATAGGAATGAAGTTCAGATCAAAGAAAACGATATATATCTTGGACAAGTCAATTTACTTTGTCCCTCATGCTACATTGTCTTGAAAAGGATTAAACCACGACATGCTTTTATGATTGGATAAAAAGATACTCTTGATATCTGTATCTGAATAATTCGGATAAAATCAACCAATTTTGTGTTTACTTTTCCTTAGGGGCCACTCACTGGTATAGCATGGGTCTCGAAGATGGTAAATAATTCGAGGAAATAATGTTAGAAAATGTGATATTATATCTGGAAACACTGATAAAAATAGTCCTCATTTTTAAACTAAAATTCTTCCGGCTATGATCTATTTAAAATTTTGAATAAACATACGAATGATTGGTGCATTCCTTATTCTAATATCACCGTCGAATGCATGCTTTTATATTTTATGCAGTAAGGTTCCATATTTAGATGTTATGGTTAGCTGTATAATATAAATTTTATAATTTTCGCGTGTTGATGAAGTGGACAAAGGAACCTTCAACTGTTTGCCCAAAAAAAAGAAGGAACCTTGAACTATTTTTGAGAATCGTAAAATTTTATTTAGCCTGTAAAGTTATTCCGAATTAATGCCTGTATATAGTTAGATCATACTCCAATAAACTGTTTTAAATATTCTGTCTTTCCACGCTTGAATTTTATAAGAAAGGTGTGGTTCCTCTCCCCAAAATAAAGCATCGAAATACAGTTGAATTGAACTAGTAGCCGACCATTCCACCTTTTCCCCCCTTTAATATACTCTATATTACTCTTTCCATTTTGATTATTTATAAGACAATTTTGGAACAACATATCATGTCTCATAATATAGGATGTTTTGAAGAAAACAATAATTTATTCACGACTTTATTTCAAGAATAATATCCTTCATTAATGAAGTGTAAATTAATTAGGAGTTAGTGTTAAATACTCCTCCGGTCCTAATTATAAGACCCAATTGACTTATTTGAGGAGATTAAGGAAGTAAGTTAAGTTGGTTATTTATAATAAATAAGTGTTGTCATTCCTAAAATATCCTTGCTAATTAAGTATATTGGCTAAAACTATCATTATTAGAAGGATTATCTTGAAAAAAAATACATAAATATAAGAGACAAAATGGATTGGGTCTCATAATTAGGACCAAATAAAAAGTCAAATTGGGTATTATAATAAGGACCGGAGGAGTAAATTAAAAGGCATTTCTAAAAGTTTACCTCTTTCTTAAGAAAATTAAGATTTTTAGCTGTATTCGATGAAGCATATTGGTATTTATTATTTATAATTTACTCCAAAAACACCTTATCAATTAAAATGAAAGGAACATTTTTTTTTGGCCCGATAAATTGACAGGAACATATTAGCCGTTTAGCTCATTGGAATACCAAAATATTTAGGCAGGCCTGCACATGACTCAGAAATTGGAGCATTTTTTTTTTTAAATATTAAAGTCTGACATTGAGATTTATATAAATCAATGTATATAAAATCCGCCTAACTGTCTATAGTTCTATACATTAATAAATTATTCGAACGGTTCTGCTGATAATGTTAAAAAAAATTCCAGCTTGTTAGCTCTGGAGGGTTCTTGAATACCAAACTTTCGTCACTAATGACGATTTTGCGGAGTCAAACATCATAGCTAGCTTCTCTTCCTCCTCGCACTCGCACCACACACGAAGCTGCATGCCACTATTTAATTAATATAAGGCCTCTCTACCTCACGTGTTTAGACTTTCTCAACTTGAAGCCCAAGTAAATAGTACTGCTCACTTTGACCCCATAGATAGAGGCTAAAAATAAATGCTGGTTAATCTGCTGGTTCTGTCTAAAGAACAGGACGAGAGAGAAAGATATCTTTTTTTAACTTTCAATATAAATGATCTCGTCAAATTTATTATATAAATATAAAATTTTATCTCTAATTCATTGTTTTTCAAGATTGAAAAGTTATTTAATTCTAAAATAGAGTACAAAAATTGTGTGTCACTTTTTATAAAACATCTCTCGTTGAACAAGGGTAATACATGTGAGAAAAACCGCTAAATTAATTAGAATAATGTAAAAAAAAAACCTATTAAGGGGTAGAAACAAAGTGGATCTAAGTTTATATATTTATATAGAAGTAGAGGGAGTAGTACATGTCAATTTGACGCCTCCTATTTCAATTCCTTGTAAAAAGCAACCATCAATTATATTTTATTGAAAATCAAATCTGAAGATTTTTTTTTAATAGAACTTGGTAAAATTGAATTCTAGCGTCTCCATGAAAAAATTAACACATATAAATAACTATACCGAATTTCCGTCCCACTATATTTGTGACCCCTATAGTCCATCTCAGTTGTATATCCAGCTGCTGATCCAACCCGACAATTTTCGTTGTTTTTTTGAGAGTGAAAATCAGATTGATGTTATATATATATAACCCGTCTTCTCAATATAACAGTCAGTTGATTAATTTAAGGATATTTTAAAAAAACTAAATACTACCTCCGATATTTAATATAAGACATTGTTTGACTTTTATTTTGATCATAAATATAAAACCCCAATCCATTTTATCTATCATATTTATGTTTTTTTTTCAAAGTAGTTTCTAACAATAATATTTCTAACCAATATACTTGATTAGCAAGGATATTTTAAGAAAGACAACACATATTTATTATAAATAACTAACTTAACTTCTTTCCTTAATCTCCTCAAATTAGTCAACTAGCTCTTATAATTAGGAATGAGGTAGTAAATTACTTAAAAGTATTTATATTTTTTTAAATTGATTTGTCTAGCTTATAAACTACTACCTTCGATCCTTAATATAATAACTAATTGACTAATTTGAGTAGATTAAGAAAATTAGTTAAGTTAATTATTTGTAATAAATAAGTAGTCTTTTATAAAATATCTGCTAATCAAGTGTATTAATTAGAACTATCATTATTATAAAAATTATGTTGAAAAAAATAGATGAATATGAGAGACAAGATAGGTTAGGGTCTTATATTTAGGACCAAATTAAAAGTCAAATGAGCTCTTATATTAAGAATCGAGGTAGTAATATATAATCTAGTAATATATATAAGTATTTAAGAGAAATCATATAACATATGCTACAATTAAGTAATTTATTTAGTTTTATTAATATTCACAAATTACTCAACTAAATCTTATATTAAGAATATAATTTAGAGTGATCTCTTCGTATGCCTGCGTCTATGTAGGGACTCAAACTATTTAATTACACTCATGTTAGTTAAAGTTAACCTATAAACTTGAATCCATTAAATTAAACAGTACTCATGGGCAGAACAGCTAGAACATTCGGTGTAAAATACGAAGAACCAAGTCGGAAGTCTGTACAAATTAATACATGAATTTCAGGTCCCAGTGGAAATAAAAATTCTGCATATATGTGGTTGAGTTTGAGCCACACTTGAGACCTACTTAAGGTAGACATAATTCAGCAAACTGAACCTAGTTAACTTGTGACAATATTTTAACTAATGACTAACTTTAGAAAAATATTCTAATAGTCTGGCTATTCTTTATCTTCTTATGAAAATAATTAATACTACCTCAGGTCCTGAATATAATATGTTATATTTAGAACGGAATGTAGTATAAGGATAGTTAATGATCGGCTTATTAAGTATTGTATAACATTTTTAAAAACAAATCATGCTACTCATAACTTATAAGCAATGCACGTTATCATATTTTCTATATTTTACACTGATCACACACACACACATCCCCTTTTTATGTTCACAAAATCACATACGTAAATAAATTTCTTATAATTCAACACACATATATATATATGTAGATACAACAAACATAAAATTAGATAAAAAAAGATTCCCTTTTTAACTTTAAAATAAACTAGAATTTTATCGTCGGTAATAACATTAAATTTGAATTTTGAAAATAAAAAATTGCATAAGCAGTAAAAGGAGTAATATTTAAATTTAAATGAATTAATAAAAAAAATTTCAAATGAAAAGTAAGAGAGCAACTTATATATTTTGTTTTCCAGGGTCTGGTACTGGTTGCAGCGCTTTGCCCTGGCCCCTCAAGTTTACCCGGGCGCGCGCGCACTGATTCCTATAAATAACCAGCGCGACACTAAAAATTTGCTAGTAGGTCACCTTGTTTGTTCAAACACACCAAGCTATTTTCCAGAGGAAGCCTACGCAGAACTGTTGGGCGAATCTTTAGTCACGCACTTCCTGGTTTGTTCCCAAGAACAAATTGGTCAGTTGTTGTGGGGGGGAAATTATGGAGGGGGATCAGGAAACAAGTGTGGCTGCATCTTCAGTGGCTCCCAAGAAGAAGAAGAATGGGTCCTTTCGATCCATTTTCATGCACGCCGATATGTTAGATTGGTTCCTCATGGTCCTTGGCCTTGTTGGGTCCCTCGGCGACGGTTTCACCACTCCTCTCGTCCTTCTCATCAGTAGCCGCTTGATGAACAATATAGGCTCTGGTCCTACCATCGATCCGAATGCTTTTACAAATTCCATTAATAAGGTCTGGTTTATCTTTACGAACATACATGTACATATATCTCTGTTTCCGTATATCTCTTTATCCGTCTCTTACTCCTTTTTTTTTGAGTTGCAGAATGCGGTGGCCCTGCTATATTTGGCTGCTGGCTCATTCCTCACTTGCTTCCTCGGTGAGTTTATATTTGTGAGTTTTGAGTGTTAGATCCCTCTCTAGTACTCATGGTTTTTTGGATGGCCGAGAAGTGACTGTGTTGTACTGTGGCGATTTCAGAGGGGTATTGCTGGACCAGAACAGGGGAAAGGCAAGCTGCCAGAATGAGAGCTAGGTATTTGAAAGCGGTGCTCAGACAGGATGTTGCTTACTTTGATCTGCACGTGACGAGCACGTCGGAGGTGATCACCAGCGTCTCCAACGACAGCCTTGTAATTCAAGATGCTATTGCTGAGAAGGTAACTCAGAAAATTAATAACAACTGGCAAGAAGATCTCTTCGGATTTTAAGAACTTTGACGGCTTCCTTTGAAAATTGTAGGTGCCAAACTTCTTGATGAACGTGTTTATGTTCATCGGGAGCTACGTAGCGGCTTTCGCGATGTTATGGAGGCTGGCTATTGTGGGGTTCCCATTCGTGGTGCTGCTCGTGATCCCTGGTTTACTCTACGGAAGGACTCTAATGGGGTTGGCGAGGAAGATCAGAGAGGAGTATAATCACGCCGGTACAGTAGCCGAGCAGGCGATATCTTCCATAAGAACTGTGTATTCCTTCGTGGGAGAAAGCAAGACCATAGCTGCTTTCTCTGAAGCTTTACAAGGATCTGTTAAATTGGGGCTCAAGCAGGGCTTAGCTAAGGGCTTAGCCATCGGAAGCAACGGCATCGTCTTCGCCATCTGGTCCTTCATGTCTTTTTACGGCAGCACCCTCGTCATGTACCACGGCGCTCAAGGCGGTACCGTTTTCGCTGTCGGAGCTGCCATTGCCGTTGGTGGCCTGTAATTCCGCCCATCTCTTACCTCTCTCATCAATAATTTTTTTAAGGGGAAAAAAAATAAGAAATAACGTAAACTGAATTAATCATTAAAAATCTCTGACAATTATATGGATACTTTTTTGTAAAGGTCACCAATGACATGGTTCAGTGAAGCTCTATTATTGACCTGGTTTACTTTAATGAGATGGGGAAGGAGTCCTAAAAGATGTATGAGAAAATGATTAACTAATCATTCTTTCTTTCTAGGGAAAAACAGATGTTGAAGATTTGTGTGTGATGAACTCACACCATTCACTAATGCAATGATATTTTGTTGGCTTTGGTTTTGTTGTTATGCTGAAACAGATCTTTAGGGGCGGCTTTATCGAACATGAAGTACTTCTCTGACGCGAGTACGGCAGGGGAACGCATAATGGAGGTGATCAAAAGAGTGCCGAAGATTGATTCGGACAACATGAGTGGGGAGATCCTGGAGAGCGTTTCAGGGGAAGTGGAATTCGATCACGTACAATTCGCGTACCCATCCAGAAGAGGAAGCATAATCCTGAACGATTTCTGCCTGAAGGTTCCAGCTGGGAAGACGATGGCCTTAGTGGGTGGGAGTGGATCAGGAAAATCAACAGTGATATCACTTTTGCAGAGATTTTATGACCCACTTGTGGGAGAGATAAGGCTGGATGGTGTGCCCATTCACAAGATGCAGCTCAAGTGGCTGAGGTCACAGATGGGTCTGGTCAGCCAAGAGCCTGCTCTGTTCGCCACCAGCATCAAGGAGAACGTTCTCTTTGGAAAGGAAGATGCTTCCATGGAAGAGGTCATTGAAGCTGGCAAAGCTTCTAATGCGCATAATTTCATTTCCCACCTGCCTCAGGGGTACGATACTCAGGTACCTTCACTTGACCCTCTTTCTGAACAATTTCCCTGGAAAGTATGGAATCTTCGGAACAGTTGGTGATGATCATTTATTAGGTTAATCATGTTCAAATCAGTAAAGTTATTAAATCCTCCTGTTCCTCAGACTGTTGCTATATAATTGAGTCTGATGATAAACCCAAAAAGTGCCCTTTTCCTGTATTCCTCCAGACAAAAGAAAAAGTAATATTCTCTGCCCTGATGGTATCATTTCATATCATCTCTCCCCTTATAATTTGGTCGTCCACACACACAAGGAATCTCCCTATTTTATTTTATTTTTTAAAATTCTGGTTACAAAAGACTGCCTCATTGTTCTTGCAAAATCTCCATACGGCATCTTTACCCTAGTCGTTTTGCTGTCAAACTTCTGCATTGCATTTATAAAACAATTATAAATCAAAGTAATTAGTTCAATGAGAGACTCATATATGATAATTTATCATACTCCAATGGACACACTAAGTAGCGAAGTCCTTTAAGAAAACAAGAAATTAACTACCCAACGACATCAGTGGTTGACTTCAATCCAAACTACTCCTCCGGTCCTTATTATAAGACCCAATTTGACTTTTTATTTGGTCCTAATTATAAGACCCAATCCATTTTGTCTCTTATATTTATGTATTTTTTTCCAAGATAATCCTTTTAATAATGATAGTTTTAGCCAATATACTTAATTAGCAAGGATATTTTAGAAATGACAACACTTATTTATTATAAATAACCAACTTAA